GAACTTACTAACACGAACGTAGTTACTAAATGCGTTATATCATTTTATTCTTAATATCTTCCTTAATGGATTGTGCAAACCGCCCTTCTGAAAAATGCTTCATATAGGGTAGGGCAGGGAGCCCTGGAGATGAGTTTATGGAACCAAGGGAGACGTGGTCCGCAAAAGTTTCGGAATCACTAGATTATGGGGCCTGCGGTAGCGTAGTTGGTTAAGGCACTGTGATACAATCCGGAAGGTCGCGGATCGTTACCCGAATATACTGAATTTTTTCAATTTACCTAATCCTTCCAGCCGCACTGTGGCCATGGGGTCGTCTCAGCCTCTGATAGAAATGAGTACCAGGAAAATTCCTGGGATGTAAAGGGCAGCCGGCCAGCGTGTCTGACAACCCCACGGCCATCAGTGAACCGATTGTCTAGAAAAATGTGGGAGCCTCGACGTCTCACGACACTATGGGCCTCCACGGCCTGTTACAGGGATAGCTCTGTCGCCTAATTATTTACAGCCCTACATGTTATCGAGTGATGCGTGGAAGCCGATATTTAAAGTTATCTCTCACTAATAACAAGCACAACTAGTCAATGGTAAAGTTTCTGTTTTATAGAGACTGTTGCACTTCACATATCCACATATTGTTCATACTCAAGAAGCAGACACGATACAATGAAGGAAAGCAACGCTTGCTCATTAGTAACCTACCACATAGCTTATGTTCATGCAACAAGCTAACGTTCGACAATCTGTTGCTATAGTAACCCGAAATTGCTATAATTATGATGATGAATCTGAGGCTTGCGTAACGCTTCAATATGCATATGGAAGGTCATGACTAGTTAGTTTCGTTTCGAACGATTAATGCCTAAGAGAGAGCAGACTAACAATTACTGTTTTGCCCTAGGTCACGAGTGAAGTCACAGAAACCTGCCAGGTCGACTGGAATGTTCGGTGTTGAGTCACATGTCCCCGTGTTACTTCGCATGACCCTGCGCGCGGCTTGCAGTAACCTCGACAGGCAATTCACGTTAACACGTTCGTCAAATGACGCAACGAATACCACGCAACAGAGGAACCCAAAAGCAACCTATAAAGCTCACTTCGAACGTGAAGAGAAACATCAGCAACCCAATTTTATTTCTTTAGAGGAACTGAGGTAAATGCAAGAGAGGACGTCATTAGATATGAATATGTAGAGAGAAAGTTGGGGTTAAAAATTTTGTGAATACTCACAAGACAAACGATTGAAGTGGTTTGGCCGTTTGAATAAAAATATTTAGAAAGGCGTTAGAATTAAGATTTGAAGGAAAGAGAGCTTCGGGATGTCTCAGAAAATGATGGTTCACTAGAATGGCGGAAATTAATAATCAGAGCATAGTTCTGGCAAGAAATGGAAGAGGAAAGATTGTGTAACGACTGAATATACAGAGTGTTCCAGGAGGAAAGGTCAATTTCCTGAGAGGTCGTAGTATCGCTCATTTAAAGCAAAAAATTGTAAATGTACGTGTGTCCTATTCCGAGCGGTTTCCGAGATAGAGCTATTTCACTGTACATTTCCAAAATTGTTGATAAGAAAGAGACGTTACGTACTGTTTCTAATACCGGTATTTACTGTTCAAGTGACAAATTTGGTACAATTTACCTCGTGTAATATACAATAGTTTCACAAATTTCAGCGTCAGCATCAATGTACTTTGCAACTCGTGTGAGAACATGGCGTGTTGCTCGTCTGTACAGTGTACAGTGTCCTTTACAGTGAAATAGCTCTATCTCGGAAACCGTTCGGAATAGGACACATTTACATGTACACATTTTTCCTTAGAATGACCGATACTATTGCCTCCCAGAAAATTATTGACCTTTCCTCCTGCGTACTCAAGCATCCCATGCATTTTCGGTATGAAACGGGAACAGTTCTGGAAGAATAAGACGTGCATCTCATGTGTTTCACCTCGAATCTTATTGCTCACTGATGTCAGGGTTGGAAGAATTAACGACTTATAACTGCAGGGCATAGTCTGTTGTAACGAGAAGCTTTTATTCTGCGTCGAAGGCTTCTCTCTTCCTGCTACAGCCTCCAAACCGGCTCTGGGGTCCACGCACCCGACTGTTCGCTGTATAAGGTAAAGTTATCCTTGTGCTTAACTAATTAAGCACTACGTCATGAAGAGGTATGGGGGAGTGGAAGTGTAGGTTCACGTGTTCTTGACCTCGGCGATAGTTAGAGCTAAGTGGTCAGCTTCACTCCCCGGCCACTTTGCCTCGAGACAAAGTCCCTCTCATCCATTGCAGAGGAGGCTGGTTGGGCCCGAAACCGATCTGGACAGCTTGGAGACAAGAACGGTCTTGCCCCAACCGGGAATCTTGAACCCTCGGCCGTCCAAACCGCAGCCAGTCGCTATACCGACAGAGCTATCCCGACTCCCCTATACACTATATTCACTGATTCATCAACGGCTGTACGGCCCTTTGTTGGATCCTTGCCGCTTTTTCAGTTTTGTAATCCTACACACATTCGGTAGTGTTCCTTGGACGAGGGACAAGCCCGTCGCAAGGCTACTACCTACACACAGGACTGCATAAATAAAGAATAAACTCACACAGACATAAATACCTCGGGTGTGTGATTCAAACCCACCAACCCAGCGTTCGAACGTGCGAAGTCAGTTTATGCTGTAGACTGCGCGGCCACCGTGATCGGCCCTGTTCAGTGCATTCCGGGACTATTGCAGCTGACGGATTAACCCGACAGCTCCCACCATCTATCGCCGAGGTTCAGAACTCACAGAGCTTTACTTGCTCATCTCTGTGATCCTTCATCATGCTTGTATGCTGCAGGAAAAGTATGTCCCTTCTGCGGTGGATGCCTGTAGTGCCTAACGCAGGGTACATAATACGAACGGCCGAAATCATTCAATATTAACAATATTGCCTTCGACTGGTTCACCTGGCGTCAAAGGAACTTCGTGTACTGTGTAAACTGGGCTTGCGTCCCTTCAGAGAGAAAGAGAGAGAGGGAGAAAAAGGTAGAGCTGTCCCAATAACAGGCTGTGGAGGCCCATAGAGTTGTGAGACGTCGAGGATCCCACATTTTCTACAAAATCGGCTCACAGATGGCGGTGAGGTTGGTGGTATTACGCGCTTGCCGGCCTTTTATCCCCAGTTAGATGGCTGGTACTCGTTTCTGTTAGAGGCTGTGTGGACCCCAGGACCATAGCTGGGCAAGAAGTTGCTTTCAAAAAGACTGGAACAACACCGAACTTTGCCCCACGTTCGTTGCACTGTGGACGAAACACTGAACTAGAACATTCGGGACAGTGTGACCATTCGTTTCCACAGACTGCATACCCACCGAAGCACGTTACAGGCGACAGCTAAAACCGCGCTTTTGTAATGTGTAGCACAGCTTGAGGTTAGTACCGAGGCGCGCGCTGGAGGTGCAAGCGCGACATGTCAGTCTTCTCGAACCCTACATTGGACGGATATTATTATTGCACCGCATTTAGCATTTTATTATTCATTCATATTAGAATTATCTGATCCTTCGGGCATATGTGAAATATTTCGACAGTTCCCAGCGTAATTGGTTGAAACACTATGCTACAAGCCGGAAGGTCGCGGGTTCAATTCCTGATGAAGTAACTGGACTTTTCAATTGACCTAATCCTTCCCGCCGCACTGTGGCCCTGGAGTCGACTCCGCCTATAACAGAAATGAGTACCAAGAATATTCCTGGGAGTAAATGGCAGCCGGAGCGTAAGGCTGATATCCTAACCGCCATCTGTGAGCCGATTGTCTACATAATGTGGGAGCCTCGACGTCTCAGAGCTCTATGGGCCTCCACGGCCTGTTGTAGGGATAGCTTCACCTTTTTTATCCCAGCTTGCATAATCAGCACCTGATAATCGTCTGCCTAGCAACTGATTTAATTTCCAAGGAGAAAGTGTTCGCAAAGTCTTTGCAGCGATTTTTATAATACAGGGTTATTATAGAAGAAACAGACACTTTCAGAGTTTTATTGATATAGCCAAAATACATGGAATTTAGTATATATATTTAAGTTTGTATGACTAAGCTACAAATGCTCTATGTGTGAGACTTTGTCACGCGGCAGATATCAATACGATAACCCAGTTCGTTCTGAACACCGCTCAACAGACCAGAGCATGGCACTGACAAGTTGACCATCAAGAATTCCGATCTGACTCCCACTGATATATTTTTCCTTGTAGAGATATATCAAAGACAGAGTTTTTGTTCCTCCACTTCCTGTAAGTGTAAACGATCCAAAGCAAAGCATCACAACTGTTACGTGTGTTGACGAGAACATGTTCCGGTGTGTTTGGAACGAATTAGATTAGCGTATTGATATCTACAGTGTGACAAAAGGCTCATACATAGAGCATTTGTAACTTAGTCATACAAACTTAAAGATATATACTGAAAAACAACGTAAGTATTTTGACTATATCAACATTACTTCGGTTTCTATAAAAAGTTGAAAGTGTCTATTTCTTTTATACTAACTCTGTATTATCACGCTTATATGCATTTACAAATTATTGTTCTACACCGCCACACAAGCTTGAATTTTACAGTTGCGGTCAGAACTTGTCTTCTTCACGCTGCGTGGTGCCTTCAGCTCACGTTCCACCATCTGACAGCCCCAATGACTTGCGGGCGGCTTCCCCGCACAGTTACCATGTACCAAAGAAGCGTACTGGGCATAAAATTTATGCTTTGTTTGCCCAACACCAACTTTTCCAAACAGTTTCCCCTCGATACATATTCACCGACTGACGCTACGCATGCGCGTAGAAACGCATGTAAGGTTTAACATATAATGTCCGCCATTCTTTGTCCTATTTAACAAAAAATTATTGTGTCGACAAATTCGTAATCTATCTCATCGAACACAAAACAATTGCTTGCCTGCTTCAGAGTTTGACGTGCCTTGCAAGAAGGTTCAGCAGACAGACCCTACCCCCTGAGGGGCCACTCACCAGTAACGCGATGTTGGGGAGCACAAGTACGTCGTCCTCTTTGCCGGCGCTAAGCTCCGGTACCCATACCAGAGGGTGTCGCGGTATCATCGTCAGGGTGCCATTGTCATTGAAGGTGACGTTGGTGTGCTCGAGCAGCTCCCTGCAACACATTTCATTAACGTAAATCAGCTCCCTCAACACAGTGTGGGGGCGACGCTCAGACAGAACGTAACTCAAAGCATGTGTGCGTTCTTACCTGGATATGAGACGTCACATCGTGGGCAACCACGGAGCAACAGAGATCAGCAACAATGAAACCGTTCTATACAGTGGAGATTTTGAGTATCCATAAGCATGTAGTGCACATATCTGCGCTTCTATTTTTTTTTCCTTATGTTGGGGTCCCACTTGGTACGTCGGCCACTATTTGGCCTGTTGTACCAACCCCGGATGTTAGATGATGTGTGTGGAGCAGTCAGTGGAATGAGAATCAGCAGGGAGACTGAAGTACTGGGAAAAAATCTGCCCCAGTGCCATTTTGTTCAGTACAAATCCAAACAATATTTGACCTGGGCTCGAACTCTGGTCGCCGCATTGGGAAGTCGGCGGCTAACCACCTGAACTATGGCACGGCATGTCTGTACTTTATTAGAACAAAATTCTAGGAAACAAATTTACGTTACGACCTCAAGTTTAGCTTCCATTTATGATATTCTGAGAGTCAAGAAGTAATATTTGGAGCGCTTATTAAAACTGCTTACGGCGTGACTGAGGTAAAGCTCCGCGCATTCTTACCCTCGGTGTTAAAGGGATGTGACTGAATAAAATCACTCTCCAGTCGCTATATATGCGAGAAAAATTCCTCGGTACCCATTCGATATGAAACTGGGTGGAACCGAAAACTTATGTGTACGGCTACGAAGAGAAAACCCTCTGCCGTTCTTGCGAATGGAACCCCAATCATTGAGTCTATATCCTCGCCAAAATGTTGTCAGTGTTTTCTTTTTAAGAAGGCGAATTCACCTGTAGACGTATGGGCCCAACTCCTGCACTCGGAGCTTCTCCTTCCCTGCCATGAAGGCCTCCTTGTTGGTCACATTAAACAGCCACACCCGGAGGTACAGGTCCACCGGGGGCTTGCGCCATAGCTCGAAGGTCTCACCGCCAGGGGAGAAGATCACTTTCTGCAACAAGTAACCATTGCGACAATGCAAACGGGTTCCTGTCAAGTCCGTCGCACTTGCATTTTGATTGGGCAGTGAGGTAGTTGGGGGCGGGGGTGGGGCACATTGGAGGTGATCGAACTGTGGGGAATACATCAAGCGTGGGAGAAGTGAAAGATTCGAACTGGGCACTTCAAGAATACAAATGTGAAACTGCCTGCTCGATGATATGATGACGTGGGGCTCAGATGGGGTGGGGACACGAGGTATGCAGACACAGGTGCAGAGGAGCATGTGCCGGAATAAAACCATGGAAACAGTTTGCGCTTGGGCGGCTCAAGGCCTGACCAAGTTGGCCCAAACGGCAGTGTTTCGCCTTGTGTTCGGGAGATCACAGGTTTGAATCCCGACTGGGATTTCGACTATCATGAATGAAGATTATCGTAGTTCTACTCAGACCCTTCCAAATAAATTCCGGGAGAGAAATTTAAATTTGGCCATTACCAATTCTTTCCTACCTCTCTCTTATTCACTTTTTCATTATCATCCCAGAAATCGACACTACACACCCGTAATCCGACTTCCTGACAACTTCGCTATGTAAATCACAAACAAACAGGAGTTCTTTTGTTTATATCCAGTTTTACAAACCATGGTACCGTATTTAGTTTTGTTTAATCCCGTACGCATGCAAATAAAACGAAATATCTGCTACTCCTACACCAAGACATCCAATATTTGTTGGAAGCTACGGCGGAATTGCACCCGGGACCCCTTTTGCACTTTCCAGAGTACTGTTCCCGTGAGACTTCTTTGTGGCACTATATTATAACTGATTTATTTTTAAGCGCGTTATTATTACGGTTGTCTTTAATCAAGAAACTGGTAGTTGATTATACAAATATTATATTTCTGGACATTATCCATCGTCCTGTTTTTATTTCGAAACAAAACGTTTCGGAGACTGGATTCTGTCTCCGTCTTCAGGTAAAACCTACTCATTTCGGTTCGATAGAGCCGGTCCCTGTCTCCGGACGATTATGTTCGGTGAGAATCACGATCCCCCTAACCCCCACTTTCCCATAAGACCTTGGTTTTTGATGCTCTTAAGGAACGCGGCAGTTTGCGGTTCTCGAAAAATTTCTGTGCGATCGAAAGGACCGTGACCGCTTCAAAAGTTCACCGAGGACGATCATACGTTCGTACTATTTGGCGCTTAATAACGGTTACACTTGACATAACGCCATTAAATAAGCCCTTATTACATCAGGTGACCTCTATTATTCGGGAGGTCCTCGTGAAGACTGGAGTTCCTGCTGCGGCCAGCACTATCATTACTCTTTCTCCTGGGTCTTCAGTCAGCGTAAATTGTTGAGAAGTCACGAAAAGAAAAATGTGGAGCATCCGGCTGACTCCATCTTCATTGTAAGACAGATAATCTGAAGATAGAGAGATAAAGTTCCTCCAAAAGGTTCGTAGTTACCAGACGGCAAGACATGACATCCCAGAAGGCACTGATGTTAATCTTCATCGAGTTCTTCCTTAAGGATTGCAAAGTTTCGCTGATTATTTTAATACACTCGCTGTCACCAAAACCAAGCGCAGCTGAGACACTTTTGGGCACTCACCAATCTGAATATGAGGTCATACGGTCGCACCAGAAGGATGAAACAGGCGGACGCTACTGACAGAACTCCCAGCGCCATCAAGATGAAGGCGCCTGAAACAAAAAGAAAAGCGGCTGTAAGCTTCTAGGTTTTCCAAGTCCTAAATTCTTGGATATTGGCCCTCCGGTGCAACCTGGTATGTACCCTTAGGACAGAAGCCTTAGGTTTCTCTGCAGCACTGGTAACCATACGCCAGACTTACAAGCCCTCATAACCCCAAAAGGACCACAATCCGTAAACAAAGAAACATTATTTTCTTAGCACTCAATCATCAGAGATATGAAACCTGGTAAAATTTCATGTACTCCTAAATCTTTGTTTTATGTAGCTCTGTTGGTCTCCCAACAAAATCCCAGCATCGAAATTTATGGGCGTCAGGTGTTATTCCAATTGATTTCACATGACACGTAATAAATTACTTCATAACAATATGGACATAACATGATTTCATGATCATATACAATATCGATACAGTGTAGAAAAACTTTAGATGCTAATTTTTAACACCGTCGACCCGGAAACTCTGTTTGATGGCCTCATTACCCGCTCAGCATGGTCGCGTTGCCTGACCACGCAGATAAAAACAGTCTTCTATTTTACTGTAAAAAAAATGTTTGTTCAATTTTCCCTTCGAGTACACCCCTGCTCTATTTGGCTGAACGAGACTAGCAGCTGGCGCGTTGTGAACTGCGCTTTTCGCTCGTTTTGCTGTCTTCCTCTCGTCTGTCCACATGTTGTCCATTGACACTCCTAATGGAGTACAGTTCATTGTAAGGAGACCAACGGGGTATGGACTTTTCCTTCCTTCCATCCACTGAAAGAAACAGAGACGGTTTTCGAAGCGCCGTGTTTGTGAACATCTGAATGTCCAAATGTTTACAATCTTTGTACCACACGATACGATCGGCAATATTTAGCTCACCGGAGGAACACCGCTGATGTCATGTAGACTACCACCAAATGAGGTTTGTCACGAAACTGGGTTGGTTTATCGAAGACGTGGACAGTTCAGTTCTTACCGGCGCTGAAACGCAAGTTACGCTAACTTGGTTGGTGGCGGATAAAGAAGCCCAGAAATAAGAGACACTTTTGAGAATTCGTTCTGGTCTCCTAGCACCGGTTTATATGCAGAGTCACAGCGACTTAAACCGAGTCAATGTCGGATACCTCTAAATTCGCCAGTCACTGCTTCTGTTTGGTCGAGCAGTGGCGGCTCGTTACCATGGCCAAAATAGCAGAGACAAAATTATCTTATTTGTAAGTTTAACTTTACTCTTCTGGTCCGTTGCACGACTTAATTATTACAGAATGATTTGACTACAGTGTTGCTTCCCCATTTTTTACATAGCTGTTTAAAAATCTGTGTTGTTGTTGTTGTTGTTGTTGTTAAGCTGTTTCTCCCTTCGTTGTGTTGAGGAACACAACACTGCCCGGACCTCTGAGGACGGCAAAGTCACCCCAATCTCCCGTTGATAAAAGAGGCATGAATACACAAATTACAACGGTTTAAGATTTTAAATATTAAGAATTTTAATAATTTTAACTCAAACACATTTTATCTTAATTAAAATCTTTATACAAAATTCGATTTAACTTGATATACTATGATCAATGTAATACTAGTTTCCTCTACATGTTGTTATGACTTCTGAAAATGGTCATAACTGACGGAAACATGTAAAAACATTATACAAATATACGAGTATATTTGAGTCACACTGGACGGTGTTGTCAAATCATTCTATACTATTTTCTTTATTATTGCTAGTGGGGTGGGCCTAAGTCCCTTGTACTGCGGCCACTTCTGGCCTATTGTACCAGCCCCAGATGATAGGTGAGGGTGATTGTGGAGCAATTGGTGAAATGAAGATTGCAGGGGAAGCTGAAGTACTAGGAGAAAACCTGCCCCAGCGCCACTTTGTCCACCACAAATCCCACTTGACCAGACCAGGGATCGAGCCCGGGCCGCCGTGGTGGGAAGCCGGCGACTAACCGCTTCGAGCTATGGCGCGGGCTCTTCTATAATATTTTGCATAAGTTTCGAAGTTTTCAAGGCGCTGACTGTTAATATTGTGGGGTTCTCAGTTGTGACACCGTGTAGTCTTGAAGACGGATATCGACGTTTCGGAGTGTCATTCATTCAGCTTCAGGATCGAAGTATGCAAGCTGAAAAGGCGGTTTTATTGGAAAGTTTAAAGGATTATGTCATTAGACTCTATAAGATAGAACGAGCCTGGTATCACGTGGTAAGTTTGGGGGGGGGGTAAAAAAGGAAGCCTCTCTCTTTTGGTCTTATGTCCACTCTTCCCTTATGTAACAAAATTCTTTCACCTTGAAGATGGAGGCAGTATGTTCCTCCGAAACGTCAGTATCCGTCCACAAGAACTACACTTTGCGACGATTGAAATGATCACAGTGTTAAAAAAATCACTCTCACAAAGACGCCGAACTGCACACACGACCATGTTCTCTAAAATCCTTTGTACTAATGCCGATCTCAATTAACGAGCACAAACGAGACTCTGGCGGGCGAATCATAGCTAATGACTGCAGGTGGCACGGAGAACATTTCAAAACGCTGATGTAGTTCGAGGTAAAGTTTTATTATCTCCTGCGTTTAATATCTTGACATGTATTTAGCGAGCCACTGGAATTCAAGTTTAGTTGAAATCGGCTACGAAGCATCTGGTGCAGTAGTTGCTAAACCAGTAATGAATTATCTCTTTGCATCACATGGATACGTGTCCGAGAGCGTCAGCAGGTTATCAGAAATACACAGGGTGTTCAGCCTCTGACGCTGCGAACATACTCAGAGAGCGGAAAGGCCAACTCTAGTTCCGGGTAACTTCCGACGGCCTTAAGGCGGCACAGAAGCCGCAACATGTAGTGCAGAAGAAAGGAAGACGAAAGAACTACAATAAATTGTTGCACTTAAGACGGAATTTGTGTCATATATTGGCACAGAAGCATCATACTGTAGGGTGGAGAGCCGTTGATATGCAACGACCGCAAGATAAGCAAATATACCAGAAACGTTTCTAGGCAACGGCTCGGTAAACACGTTCCCGCAGCAACAGACACGAACGCAACAATGGTACAGCAACAGAGGAACGGTGTATTCTATGTGCTCCGTGCCGAGATGTTATAACCGGGACGGTCTGGGGCAACAGATTAGTTGCAAGAGTGTTCAGTTGAAAGTCCAGTTGTGAAGAGAAGACTTTATGTGTGATAAAATTGTGTAATTCAGTGAGAATGTTGTGTGTTGCCAGGAAACGGCTAGTGGAGACTGTAATAGACTCAGGACACTAGTCTGTGTGCCAGTAATCTGTACAGTGTAGTTACGAGTTGTAAATATCCGTTGCTAGGTAGCAGATTCTTAGTAAGAACAGACGGCCGCTGCTGGGGAACGGTTTAATGAATACGTTCTCGTGGCAACGGATACACATACGAGAATGAACGGTGTTGTCCACGCGGGACGTGCCTAGGCGTTATAAGGACAACTTGGGGAACTAACTCATTTCCATATGGGAGGCTGTGAAGAGAGGAGACAGTTGGAAGGGAGCCGCCGATCAGAGAGGACCTAAGAGGGAAAGCTGAAGATTCTCCACTGTTAGAAGCCGTTACACGGAAACGTCTAGTGAAGATGCTGCAGACTAGGAAAAACTTAGCCGGTGCTCTAGTGATTTGTAAAGTATGGAGATCAGCGGTGGCGCTGTAATTAAGTGTAATTGCGAGCTGTGTGTTGAAGTGGTCAATAAATCCATTCTCCAATCCAAAACCCCGTCGAGAGTCACTCAAACACGTGAATCTTAAAGGAAAATTGATGTTACGACTGTTAAGAATTGAAATCTCGTCCGGGACATTCATTATCCTGACCGAGGTTTTCCCTCGTATCCCTCACTCGCCCCATCCTCGTGGAAATGTTCTAACACTACTTCAAATGAGGCCACATCCCTTCCAATTCAATTTTTGCCAATTATCCTGTCAATAGACGCTAATCTCCTGGCAACAGCGCTAAATGATTCTCCACCAAAATTGGCCAAACTGACACCTGGAATTGACTATCCAACCCCCCTCCCCCATTCTGAATATGCGTGTATAACAGAAACTCGTGCTGTCGGTGAGTGCATTATAGTCAGCTGTAATAACCCAGTGGTTCGTCCGATCCACTGGACCTCGTGTTATGAAGTCATTTAAATTACATAATACGAGGGAGAGTCAGTAAGCAGGTCACAAATGGAAGTAAAACAGCTGTGAAGGACGTCATAGGTTTTGTATGTGTATCACTAGGTACCAGTACAGTCCAAATTCATGATAGTTTAGGTAGCAGACGCGCATGCGCATATCCAGAGGTTGGTTTCAGTAGTCAAAATGGCTACCGTGCTTGAGGAATTTAATACCGAAATGCAGCGTTATGTTATGCATTTTTCTGTAGGCAATAGGACTCAATGCAAATGATATTCATGAAGAAATGCTGCCTGTTTACGTTGAGAAAGCTGGGTCGAGGAACGTGGCAAACATTTCGCTGATGACGAGGAAGCTGAAACGGAGATGCGAAAGTGGCCGAGACAACAGTCAAAAGACTTTTATTCTGCTGGTTTCGACGTATTGGTAGCGCGATGGGACATGTGTATCAATGCTGGTGGAGGATATGTAAATAAATAAATATTTCCCCCCCCCCACTTAAGAATATCATATGTTTTACGTTTTATATCCATTTGTGACCTATTTACTGACTCTGCCTCGTAACTGCCCTCAAACATGGTTCGCACCTAATCTGTTTTAGTGCGCATGTGATGTGTTTTGTGTGCACTCTGACACCGGCCTTGCCCCTGTACGGGCCGCCACTGGACTGACCCATTTAGAAGCAAATGCAGGCTCTCATGCTTGGACGAGTTAGTCGGTAAGTGTCTTCATTCGGTGCTCTCAGCTCGTCCGTTTTTCAGACTCTGCTAATAAAGTCGGAAATAATGAACGGATTTTTCATGAAAAGCTGTAATGAAAATAGTGTCACTTCAGGCCACGCTATCTTCGTGTGTAAGATGGGACCATG